TATACAAATTATGATTCGTACAATTATATGTCTGTACATAAATACGTGCCCGTACAAAAATACTGTTGTACAGAGGTTTTTATCATATTTGTGTACAGAAATATTGATGTACAGAGGTTTATATATGTACAATTGTACTTGTACATACATTATTCTGTACGGTTGTACGTCTCTGTACAAATATTTTAACTGTACAATGGTTTATATTTGTATAATTATATATGTACATATATTTTTCTGTACATATATATATATATATATTTTATTCGTATAACTCATATAATATACAGTAAATATAAGTATATTGTGTATATGTATGTGTAACCGTACACTATAATAAACGTACAGATCATATTATGCTATGTAAATGATTAAATTTAATAGTATTATAACATTAATGGCATGCTTGTAATTATAACATTCAATTAAGGGTTTGAGAGTCATTCAAATAGTGTCTAATAGTAATCATTGTCTATTTCTCTAATTATAAATAGTCTTTGTACTATCTTGCTAATATCTTTTTGAAAATGTACTAAATCTCCAATTATTCCTAATATAAATCCCTTTACTAGCAAAATCTAAACCTTACCCACAAATATGTCAGCGCAAATGAAAGGAGATGATGAGTCAGGATGAGAAATGGAGAAAACGGTGAAGCAAAATCCTGAGAAGAAGAACGGAGAGAAAATAGCGCTTGAGCAAAGGCAATTTCTTGCAAAACTGCAGAATAGGGAAATTAAATGGGAAAAATGTCAAAAAAATCTCCAACTTTCAAATTGTAGACGAAAAAATCATGAATTTTCGAAAGGTCATTTAAATCTTAAACTTTTATTTGACTTTCGAATAAAATGGTGAAGTTTTATTGACTTGGCCATTTCGAGCATGACATTAAATTTCCGTTAACTGAGATAACTTTCTGTTAGAGTTTCCGCTCAACCAAAATGACGTCGTTTCATTAAAAATAAAACTAAGTGCGCTCATGAAGGGTTGAACTCATGACCTTTGCACTTTATCACTCACACTCAACCATTGAGCCACAATAACATCTATCTATTATACCATACAAAGTTTGTATATAGACAGGACAACAAATTTAATTAAAAATAATAAACTAAAAATTTCAATGGTTGATTTGAATTTTTATATACAAAAATTATTATTATATACATAAAACAAAAATATATTATTAAAATTTAAAGTAATAGTTTTTTTATTTCATAACTGTCTTAGTTTTGTTATTTTAATAATTAGTATTGTATTTTATCGTAATTATTGACCTTAATATTCTTTTAGTTTTATATCAAATCATAAATTTCTATTTAACGAATAAATAATTTTATTTTTAATTAATTGCATATATATATATATATATATGTCTATGCGTATATGTGTATATGTAGTTTTAATTAATTGTAATAGTATTAAAATGTTATTGTGGCCCAATGGTTCAAAGCATGTGTAGAGTCGGTAATGTCTTTACATTTTTTTGTAAGCCTATTAAAATCCATTGGAGAATAATATTACGGTTATAAAGTTTCATATCTTTTTAAAACATTTAATTATTTAAAAAAGTATCAAGAATTATTACAACCATTTAACTGAACTATGACTACATATAAAAAAATACTATGGTAAAAAAATAAACGGTACGCTAAAATATTTTTGATAAAATCGAGAGTCACAGTTTAGTAAAATGGTTGGTCGCAAATGATTTATCATGTTTTTTTCATTGTGACTCCATTTTATCAAAAAGAATTTGTACACTTTTTTTACTATGGTAATTTTATTTCATTATTTCTTTTTATTTTAGATAATTATATATTTTACTAATAATAATTAATCTCTCTAACATTGATATATTGAATTCTCTTAAATACCACTAAAATAAGTATTTTTCTAAAAATACAATAATAAAATTTATTTTCCAAAAGTACCACTAAAATACATTTTTCTAAAAATACCACAAAACTAAAACTTAACTTTTAACAGTCAAAACTAATTTCTAAATACTAAACACTAAACGCTACCCCTAATTCTACATCTTCAAAATTCAATTTTTAATGTTAATGGTATTTTTGGAAAAATAAAAAAGCTGTGGTATTTTTGGAAGAAAAACTTAAAATATGGTGTCCAAGGGTTTTTCTCTATATTAGAACTTTATGCATTTCTTAAATTTTAAGATAATTACCAATTTTTCATTTATTTATTTTTCATTAATCTATTGAGGATTTATTTAGTAGAATTGAGAAAATGTTTCTAATAAAAAAATATCATTATTTCAAGTGTTCATAAAAAAATTATAAACGATTAACAATTTATTTTTTGGAAAAATACAATATAGTGTAAAAATGTGGGTAAAATCTAAATACACTTTAAATAATTAAATTTATTATAACAATAATTTAATATATAAAATAAAAATAAAAATAAAAATAAAAATAATTTTTCATCATAACCTTAAGTGTTAATAGAAAGAAAATATGATTGGTTAGTAAATTAAACTTAATATCAAAGGAGTAAATTAATTAGAGAAGTTAAAAAATGGGTTGCATGATAGAGCCGTTAAACACAACGGTTACAAAGCAATCTGATAAATAATACAAATCTATCTTTATTCTTCTCCTACTGACTGGACGGCTTTCTCTGTCTACATGGATGATATCAATATTGATAGGGAAGAATTTTCGTCCTTTTCTTTATCACTAGTTCCTAGAAGTTTGAATGTAAAAGCGGATTATTTGGCTCGACAAGCTCGGTCCATTCCGCATTTAGTCAAGTATGTAAACAACTGTCTGTCACATTGGCTCGTTTGATTCATTTGATGACAAAAAAAAAAAAAAGACTAGTTGACAAATCTTTAAATTTTTTTGATTTGTGTTATAAACTACTACAACGTATAATTGATTTATGAACTCTTGTAATCTTTTTGTAAACAACAGTTATCGAATCACAAAATCCTGAGAAGACGAACGGAGAGAAAATGTCGCTTGGGCAAAGGCAATTTCTTGCAAAACTGGAGAATAGGGAAATTAAATGGGAAAATTGTCAAAAAAATCTCCAACTTTCAAATTGTAGACGAAAAAATCATGAATTTTCGAAATGTCATTTATATCATAAAGTTTTATTTGACTTTCGGATAAAATGGTGAACTTTCATTGACCTGGCCATTTCAAGCATGATGCTAAATTTCCGTTAACTGAGATAACTTTCTGTTAGAGTTTCCGTTCAACCAAAACGAGGTCGTTTTTTGTCGTTTCATTAAAAATAAAACTAAGTGAGCTCATGAAGGGTTGAACTCATGACCTTTGCACTTTTTCACTCACACTCAACCATTGAGCCACAATAACATCTTTCTATTATACCATACAAAGTTTGTATATAGACAAGACAACAAATTTAATTAAAAATAATAAACTAAAAATTTCTATGCTTGATTTGAGTTTTTATATACAAAAATTATTATTATATACATAAAAGAAAAATATATTATTAAAATTTACAGTAATAGTTTTTTATTTCATAATTGTCTTAGTTTTGTTATTTTAATAATTATTATTGTATTTTATCGTAATTATTGACCTTAATATTCTTTTAGTTTTATATCAAATCATAAATTTCTATTTAGCGAATAAATAATTTTAGTTTTAATTAATTGCATATATATATATATGTCTATGTGTATATGTGTATATGTAGTTTTAATTAATTGTAATAGTATTAAAATGTTATTGTGGCCCAATGGTTCAAAGCATGTGTAGACTCGGTAATGTCTTTATATTTTTTTGTAGGGAAACTATATCTCATGTACTCAAATAAAAAAAATATTAAGAATCTATACCTATTCTTTTTTTTATTAGTTCTCTCTCTTAACTATTTAAATTAGACAAAGCTGCCCCTAAAATAGATAACAAATATTTTAGCACATAACAAAACAAATATCCAAAAAATTTTAGAACAATTTTTACATATCATTTATATGTTTTTTATGTATAAGTTAACATAACAGATGAAATATCATAATAAATTTAACATGTTATTATATAAGCTAGTTGATATCAATCATATAATAAATAATTTAACTCAATAATTATGAATTTATCAAATAATTTATAATTTATAGCGGTAACATATGATTTACATAGTTAATAGCACTAACATATGAATAACTATAAATAATTTTACTATATAACTATGAAGTTATCAAATAACTTATAATGTCTAGCGGTAACATAAGATTTACATGGTAGCTATTTTAGCAAATATCAGTTTTTTTATTTTTTGTTAAATCGGATAAGGGGTAAAAAGATAATTTTATTGGGGTGAGGAGAGAGATCTAATTTTCAAGTTATCACTCCTTTGCTTTTTGTTTTATGATCTTTTGAGTACTAATTTTTAACAAACCCTTTTTTGTAAGCCTATTAAAATCCATTGGAGAATAATATTACGGTTATAAAATTTCATATCTTTTTAAAACATTTAATTATTTAAAAAAGTATCAAGAATTATTACAACCATTTAACTGAACTATGACTATATATCAAAAATAGTATGGTAAAAAAATAATTTTTCATCATAACCTTAAGTGTTAATAGAAAGAAAATATGATTGGTTAGTAAATTAAATTAATATCAAAGGAGTAAATTAATTAGAGAAGTTAAAAAAAATGGGTTGCGTGATACAGAAACTTCAAAATCTATCTTTATTCTTCTCCAAGTTCAAGTTTGTCACAGAGGAAACAATAATACAAAGCTTAGGGTTCTTTGACAGATGTTTTTATAGGATTAGTTTGATTATGAATAAAGAACGAAAGAGAGAGAGAGAGATAGAGAGATCGTACCAGAAACAGAGTTTTCCGGTGGTGGTTCTGAGGGTTACGTCCGCCGTCAAAATTCACCGTTTCTTCTCCTGTACGGTAAGTCTTTCGTAAAGCTTTGATTTTTCTTTATGGGTTTATGAAATCGATCATCAACCATTATGAATTTGATTGAATTTTTCTTTGAAAGATGTTTCTATAGGATCAGAACATGACCGTTAAATCTTTTAAGGCATAGGCAAGATTGGTGGTTTTGTCGGAAATAATAGTTTACTTTGGTTATCTTACAATCACAAGTAGAAGAGGTAGGTCCATAGCTCTGTTTTGTTGTCATGAATTGTGTCAAACATTCTATACTAAAGATTGAATGTTTTTGCATGATTAAACAACTTACGTGTCTTGATCCATTTTGAAGCAACACCTATAGTGATGCAAAAATGCTTCCACCTTCTCGGAATCACTTATGTTTTACAAGCACTGATCACTTCTGATCTAATGTCTTTGTCTGACTAGACAAGATAGAGCAGAGGAAGGTGGTTTCTATTTTGAAACCCTCTCTTCAAGACTTAAAAGAAGATAACTTTATAGAATCCAAACAATGATTCTTGGATCTGGTAAAGATTAGACGAGTCTTTGGTTGATGATTTATGTTTGCGTGTTGTAGGAAATATGATTTGCTTGTTGTCTAAGACTTTAAAACTGATCTTGATTTGCTTTGTCTGTAGTTAATATGTTTTGTTTTGTTTAGTTGTCTTCACTTCTTGTTCATCTTGAGTTTAAGCCTTCTAGTTGGACAATTGTATTTACAGTTGAAGAGAAACGAGATTTGGGTGATTTATGTGTCTTTATCTCCCTTGCAAATTCCATGGAAGCTCCTTCTAATAGCTTCAGCCAGAGCACAAGACAGGTTCCACTGCTGTAAGCTTAAGAGAACTGTCGAAAATATACAGGCTCCACTGAAACTTTGGATGACAAGATTTCATCTTTTTGTATTAGGAGAAACGTGAAGAAGAAACCGGTAGAAGTAGTAGAAGCAAACATTCATTGCTCTTT